TATATAGGGATACAACATTTTAATGAACTTTCCATAAAATTAATAAAATGAAAATATATGAAATAATACACATGTACTGATTTCTTTCGAAAATCGACAACTATGAAACTATGAACCCTTCCCGGACACAAACAGTACATTGTGAGACAGGAAATTGTAGAGAGAAACAAGCCCTATAACATAGGATACAACATTTTAATGAACAGTGCTTTCCATAAAATCAATAAAATGAAAAATATACGAAATAATATACTTGTACTGATTTCTTTCGAAAATCGACAACTATGAAACTATGAACCCTTCCCGGACACAAACGGTACATTGTGAGATAGAAAATTGTAGAGAGAAACAAGCCCTATAACATAGGATACAACATTTTAATGAAAAGTGCTTTCCATAAAATCAATAAAATGAAAAATATACCAAATAATACACATGTACTGACTTCTTTCGAAAATCGACAACTATGAAACTATGATCCCTTCCCCGACACAAGCGGTACATTGTGAGACAGGAAATTGTAGAGAGAAACAAGCCCTATAACATAGGATACAACATTTTAATGAACAGTGCTTTCCATAAAATCACTAAAATGAAAAATATGCGAAATAATATACATGTACTGATTTCTTTCGAAAATCGACAACTATGAAACTATGAACCCTTCTCGGACACAGACGGTACATTGTGAGACAGGAAATTGTAGAGAGAAACAATAAGCCCTATAAGATAGGATACAACATTTTAATGAACAGTGCTTTCCATAAAATCAATAAAATGAAAAATATATTTTTTACTACATAGTTAAATCCTCTGTAAAATTTTATGAATTTTGATATTAAACGCTCTATACCTAACATTAACCGTTTTTGAGAAAAAATATTTAAAATTTTTGGACGAAAAAAACTGCCTGTCAAAAAAATATGTATTGCCTAAACTTCAAATTTAGTGATTACCACAGCCACTGTGACAAAAAGAAAAGACATATGGCTATCTATTTCAAAAATTAAATTGTTCGAATGTCATATTATATAAAAATGGCCGCAGCTGTCATGGAATTGAGCGATAAAGAAATTATCACAAATATTTTTTTTTCAAATGGAAACCCACTTTTTTTATTTCACTAGTGAGATCATTAAATCATTAGATCACTAAAAAACTCATTAGATCACTAAAGAGCGAAAATACGAGATATATTTTTATATTACAGATACAGATTACAGATACAGTGTTTTTAGCAAGTTTAAAACTTATGATGCTCCAAACTGAAACAAATAATGGTAAAACCACACGCAATAACGCTTGACTCTTATTCTGAATAGAGCAATAAAAACCGATGTTGAGCTACCAATGAAACAGGAAATCGAATATCGAGTTACACACTATAGTTTCACCGATAGAAAACTGTGTAAAACTGCAAAAAGAGCACGAATTCTCCAATAAAAGTTTTTTTTTAACAAATTTACTATTTTTACTAGTACAATCTAGAATAATGATGCATGTCAAATTTATTTTTGAAAACGATACACCGCATCACCTTGAACGAAAAATTACAAACAGAGGTTTATTTGATTTCGAAGAAGGCAATAAAATTTAATTTTATTGACGCAAGTGAAACTTTAAACATTTTCTTTCTTTGTAATCTAAAAAAAACTCTAAAATATTCCCTCAAACTGCCAGAATATCTACACGAATTTGACCTTCATTTAAGATAGAAAAATACTGATTATGATGTGCTAAATGATATTTTAATTATATCTTGCCAATATTTTCCAGTTCTCGGTTCAGACTTGACAGACAGCTGTAACTCAAAATTATATACGGCTATTGCTAACTACAAGATATATTTCGTTTTGAAATAAATGATACAAGTTTTGTATCGCTTATTTTAAACAGTTATTTTGATCAATAAGATCATCAAATTTAAGTAAAATTATTTTGGACATATTTGAAAAACGGTAAAGAGAAAATTTGTTTCTTTTATCGAGATCTACCAGCCCTGAAAATATTTGTACTTATTTAAGACTCACCCTGTATAATTCACTTCACTTCGGAAACATCTTGTAGATATGGTAATACAGAGTATAATAATAACTGGGAAAAACATGGTATAAATTATTTTGTCAACCAAAAACTGTCACCGAAAGTCACATCGTTTGAGCACAAATTCAGTGACTTATTTAAATTTATATTTGCATATTCATAACACTTGTTTGCTCAAAAGGCTATTATTAGAACCTTTCCAGACTTCTTGTTAAGGAAACAACCTTAAACGAAATTAAATATAACACACAAGCACAACGCGAAAAGCGTTAAATTTACTTTTTGGACAAAAATGTTGATAAGTAGTCTATCATCATCAATAATTTAAACACGGGTTTTAAAATAATTGGAAATACCACAAGATCCTCTAAATCTATCAGCAACTAACAATGTATTTTAGCCTTATACTTGAACTCATATAAAAATGAAGCAAGATAAACCGTAAAGCACACCTATAAATTTCATTGAACTACTGTATTGAATGGATTTATGAGAAATATAAATATATTAATAGACTCAAGAACAGGCTATTAATATAATATAACGTAACAACAATAGTCATATTTTATTACAGGTAATCAATGAATTCTTCGGATAAAATCCTACATAAATTCTTAGACAAAATCAATATGGTCCACCCTGTAGTCCAGATAGTCTAGTCACTTGAGGATCTAAAAAAAGTTATCTTATATTTATAGAAAATGCTTATCATATGTCGGAAAATTGTGAAAAAAAATGTTCAAAGTAAAATAAAAGGGATTTTCTCTAATCTAATAAAAATATAATAAATTCCAAAGCTTCTTACAAGAATTAAGTAATACATAGACCATCTTGCTTTATCTTCTCAGGATATAAGACTCCCTAATCTCGTAGATTTAAATATTAAACTACGCTATGAAGATTTAGGGATTTTAGTTCTCCCCGTATTAGATTTCTGAAGACAAATAACTTTATAATTTGTCTTAAGTTGTTCTCTTGTATTATTCACGAAACAATTCCAACAAGACGGTTTATTTCTATTATTTCGCCACGGAAAATGTTGTGAATGGAAATGAAAATGTAAAATACCGATGGTTTATTAAAGATTTAAGTTCACAAAATGTTTTCGGCTATGCCTAGTGTAAATTATTAATTAGACGCGATCCTTTTACGCTCCTAAAAGATAATTAATTAATTTAGCTTAACGAAACGTTTAATATTGTTAAGTTTAAACAGAAAAGCAGCTTTATATTTTATCTAAAAGGTGTGAAAAAGCTGTAAAAGCTAAGTTGAACTTTACAACTGAGTCTTGAACTGTACAGCTTATCTATTAGTTTTATAATAGTTGTTTAAAAGCTGTAGAGGTTAATAAAGGTATATTAGTGGTTTATAAAAGTTTTTCAAGGACTCCAATAAATCTATCCTAATATATAAAATCCTTAAGTGACTGACATACTGATTAATCACGATCCTGCTCAAACCACACAACGTAAGAAGCTCAATTTTGGCATACAGGTTGATTCTAGGGTGTAGAGGTTCGATAAGAAGGGATTTTTCGAAATTCCAGTTCTAAGAGGGTGAAACCACCCCTCAAATATTACAATATTTTTTATTTAAAAAACGGTCAAGTTTCCGAAAAAACGCTTAAACACGTATATTTTATTATGTTTTTTACATATTTCAAGATTTTTAAAAATGTATACATGGTGTTTCAAAAAATCTGGTCATTGATTAATCACGATCCTGCTTAAAGCGCTTGACGTAAAAAAGCTGATTTTTGGAGAACAGATTGACTTTAGGGTGTAGAGGTGTAGATAAGAAGGGATTTTCTAAACTCGAATTCTAAGGGGTGAAACTACCCCTCAAATATTAAAATATTTTTTATTTAAAACCTGTGAGTTTTCGGAAAAACTCTTAAACACGTATGTTTTTATTTTGTTGTTTTACATATTTTAAGATTTTTTTATAAATTTATATAGGGTGTTTCAAAAATACGGCCATTGAGTAATCACGATTCTGCTTAAACTACTTGACGTTTAAAGCTGATTTTTGGCAAACCGATTGACTGTGGTGTGTAGAGGTTCAATAAGGAGGGGTTTCTCGAATCTCAAATTCCAAGAGGGTAAAAACGTCCCTCAAATATTACAATATTTGTTATTTAAAAAACGGTTAGTCTATTGGGAAAACGCTTGGACAAGCATAATTTATTTTGTTTTTTTACATATTTTGAAATGTTTTAAAAAATCATACAGGGTGTTCCAAAATGTTGGGTAATTTCTTAACCATGATTCTGAATTAAACTGCTTGACGTAAAAGCTTATTTTTGGCAAACCGGTTTTCGAAAGTCAAATTCCAACGAGATGAAACTACCCTCAAATATTACCAAGTTATATAATAATATCGTCATATTGTTTTTCTCATGCTGACATAAATGTTAAATAAAAATAACATTTGTGTTTCTATTCACCTGCTATTCGGGAGAATAGAAACACACATTATGTTAAGGTTTTTATCTATTCTATTTCCAACAAGGTGATTAGAAACAGTAAATTATTACATATTTAAGTAGGTTTAACAATAATTAACAATACATATAATATAACAATTTATATGTACCGGCTTATGTATTACTTTAAAAATAAATATTTTATTTATAAAGTTTTCGCGCCATACAAAATAGGTGATAAATCGATCTCACATTTATTGATCAGCTGATTGACAGAAACAGTGCTGCCACAGATAAAAATATAGTTTTTACGTTTTATTGTGTATTACCAATGATAGAAAAATTAGATATGTGACTCTTTTTACTTTGAATATTTTTTAATCGTGATTTGATTTGTATGTTAATGGAAATTCTTGCTTTGCTTTATCATCACCATTACAAATGATTAATTCGACGCGAACGAAGTCGCTGGTACACGCTAGTTCTATATAAAATGACTAATTATGATCAAAATAACAAATTTCTATTACAGTTATGGTGACATGGTACCAGCCACTATAGCGGGAAAGATAGTTGGAGGGGTGTGTTCGCTTAGCGGGGTACTTGTCATAGCCCTGCCTGTACCTGTCATCGTGTCAAACTTCAGTAGAATATACCACCAAAATCAACGGGCAGATAAACGAAAAGCACAAAGGGTAAGTGTATTCGGTAGACTAAACTTCCAGCCATAAAAAATTGCCAAAAAAAGCTATCCAATAAAACTTTTACAATTGTTTATTGCTTTTCGTCTGCTAATTTTATCACTGCTCCATTCTAAGCTCAAAACAATCGATCTACTTGTGTTTTGGCTCGGATCCACATAGCCAAGGCCTTCTGGATAAACAAAACACCGCTCACTTTTGTCTATAATTTAGAACACAATAGAAAACAAATACGTAACTTGTTCATTCAGAACGGTCTGAGATATTTTTAACTATTCTAGGATCTGTTGTTTGTTAAGTGTTCCAACACACACGTCGATATTTTTTCTATTAAAAATCTTTTATTCTTCTTGCATGTATTCATGTCCAATTACCATTAAAAATCGGGTTCTTCTTACAGAAAGCACGACTAGCGCGTATTCGCATAGCCAAAGCTTCTTCAGGAGCAGCTTTTGTTAGTAAAAAGAAAGCAGCTGAAGCGCGTTTGGCAGCTCAAGAGTCTGGTATCGAGCTAGATGACAGCTACAGGGAAGAAGACATCTTCGAATTGCAGCACCATCATTTACTGCGCTGCCTGGAAAAGACTACAGACCGAGAATTTGTCGAGCTCGAGGTATGTATTCGAAATGAGGTCAATATAATCATCCTAGAGGATCAAACCGAAATTTCAGGTACCTTACAATGGACATCCGAAGAGGCCAGGGTCGCCATCACCTCTGGCCAGTCCAGCTCACTCTGCGGTGTCCATTGGACTCCTCCAGTCATGTTGCGGCAGGTGTTGTCCAAGAAGGTATCAACAAACGTGCGGGAAGTACATGCCAGCGGCTTCGACAGCCCAAGCCAATCAAACCGGTAGCGGTATGGACGGAACCTACCTTGTAGAAGCGTCTTTCTAGACATATCACCAACTTTACTTGCCTTTAAATACCTTTGACATATTCTAAGCAACATAAAGCTGTACAGGGTGTCCCACTTTAGTTGAAACCATACGGTATCTCCGTTATTAGTAAAGATAGGATGCGGTTTGCACAAACCTGTCCATTTTTTTGTTAAACGGAAGGCGCTGTTAACAAAATTTTTATAGCTCTCTTCGTTTCTCTTTGTGAAAATTTTGCAATTTGGGATAGCCCCCGTATCTTCGTTATTGTGAAAGGTATCGAGAAGATGAAAACTGAATATTGTTTGTTAAAAACTTTTTACGTAGAATACAGTGGTGTAGTCTGTTTTTCTACGAAAAGAATATTTTTGAAGATAGTTCAAAGATAGCTTGAAGACCCTGTAGCTCAGAAACAAAGAGGGCTATAAAAATTTTGTTGACAGCATCTTCTGTTTGACAAAAAAGTGGGACAGGTTTGTGCAAACCGTATCCTCCTATCTTTACTAATAACGGAGATACCGCGTGATTTCAACTAAAATGGGACACCCTGTACTGTTTTAAAGGCTCATCATCGACATGGTGGTTCATATTCTTCCAAATATATTATATATAAATATATACATAAAAGAAAATGTTAGCGTAATAATTCCTACTAACATTAGTGTCCTAAAACTTTGTTCTCGTTGATACTTTTGCTACCTACTGTATAAATTGTGTAGAAATTCTACGTTGTAATATAGTTCTCTCACACATTACACATAGGAAGTAGTTAGTATATCTCGGTCGGAAACAAACAGTGAAAATTATTACTCTTGTTAATATCCGCTCGTACACATTCTCGAAACTGAAGATATTTTTCAACGCCCTGTATAGATAATAATGTATAAAATATAAGCACAGAACTTATCAAAGATAATCTGTGGTATAGATATATTATAATGTCTAAAACTACCCAAAATAAGTGTTTCTTTGTGTCCGCTGACTAAAATTAACTGGAACTTTTATATCTAATAAAATCTAAATGTTCGATCTATATGTCAAAATATCTGTATTAAACAAAAATATCATCGTCATAAGAAGCCTAATAAGGAGCTGCTTAGCACAATGGATATTACCAAAGTTTACTAATTTCTTTGCTTGTCAACAGACATACATTAAAAATTGTTGAATTAATAATAGAAAGAATTTAATAAAGCTTTCGAATAGCTCATAATTTGAAGGTGGTTATAGATAGAATTGACTTAGACCATATTTTTAGTAAGCTATTTGTAAATATGGATAAACTGTTATCTGTATATTTCTTTTGACTGATGGAGATTTTCATTTTGAATGAAAGGGTTGTATGAATTAACTCAGCAAACACGTTGGCTTGAAAAATACTCTAAATTATGTTTCTCATAATTCACTTAGTCAGTAAACTTAGCTTTCAGTAATGACTGAGTCTTTTTTCTTTACTCAAATTTACGTAAAATTTTGATTATGAAATATTTTTCTGAATATGATTTTTAAATTAAAAGATGCCATATTTTCATACGCACACCTGTATTTTTTATTTAAAATATTTCTTGAGAATATCCTGAAATCCATCTCAATGATTTCCCAGTAGAATCAAATATGATTGAAACATGTCCAAAGAAAAAGAAAACAACAGAAATCTCAAAAAAAAACATAATATATTTCTAGGCTCTGTTTTATATAAAAGTTGTCGTTCTTTTTAAAAAAAATACTAAATTAATAATTAATTTAAAATCAATATTTATTATAAACATACCGAAAGGGATTATTTTCTTAAGCCCAAACCAGAAATATTTTTAAAGCAATATTTAAGCACAAATTATTCCAGCTCAGGCATTATGCAACAAGTTCAATTATTATTACTTAACCATAATTGTATTTTATTTAAAATATTTTGCTCTCTGGTACAAAGTATTATAAATTATATAAAATTAATTTAAACTTCTGCTGAAAAATCAGAATTAAATTATTTTATTCCTTTAAGATTACTGAGTATCCGAATAGTTTATAATCGTTCTCTGGTGGCACTCGTTAAATCAGGACAGGTTTCAGATTAATGTCATTTTTATTTTATAATTCAGCAAAAAAATTATGTCAGCTATATACAGGGTGAGTCTTAGAGAAGTGCAAATATTTTTAGGGCTGGTAGATCGATAAAAGAAACATATTTTCTCTTTACCGGTTTTCAAATAAAATCCAAAATAACCCAGATATTTTACTTTAAAAATTTAAAAAAATGATTTTCGAACAAAACTTTGAGAACCACTGGATTTCCTTTCTTATAAATTTAATCTACTAGCCATGGGCGCCGGAAGAATGAAATTTAGGGGGGGGCAAGGTAAAAATGAATAAAAAATTGACATTTTTGGTAATTATTGGGAAAACTGGAAATCGTCCGATTTTCACCAAAATTGGTATACACCCTATTTTGAAGTCGTAGATTACGTATCTGAATCTTTCCGTTTTTCTTGGCGGTCTCTTACCGTTTTTCAGAAAAACGGAAAATAATTTCAATATCGAATTTTTCTTAATTTCTCATATTTTTAAGGTTTTCTAGCACATATTTTGTTAGGTATTCAATAATCAATAATGTTTTTGCTATTTTCTGTTACTTTTTTAACCAATTCTATGCGTAATAGAGGAAAATTTGCTAAAATAAATTTGTAAACAATCTGAAAATGTTAGATTATAGCTTTTTTCGAGTTCTTGTTATTACCGATTCTGAACCGTCCAAGAACTCTGCAGCGCATGCGCAAATGAAATAATGTCTTCATATTTCCTTCTGCGCATACGGTCTGCGTCTTTTCAGCTTTTCAGCCAAATACTTTATCTGTGTACTTTATCTATGGCTAAATATCAACTAAAAAATCATGAAATATCATAGTGCTTTTATAAACATTTAATATTGTTGCTATTTTGGGCTCTATATAATCCAAAATGAGCACTTATAAACGGTCATCGTATTCATCAAAAGGTGGAAAGTTCAATAACAATGTAAGGGATATACTTTTGTCCCCCACAGACAAACCAGAGGCAGTTGCTGATATTAAAGATTTTTCAAATGTGCCCATCATAAAACAAGTCGAGAATGCAAGATCGCTACCAAAATACACCTCACGTAAGCTAATAAATAATAGTATTTGATAGTTGCTATCAGAAATTATTCTAGTTTTGTGCCGAGGAGACAGAACAATAGCTATGGATGATTTGGATCTATTACAACAAGATTTGGAGAAACTAATGTGTATCAACGCTTCACGTACAAAATTCTTTCTAGGGGAATATACGAGAACAAATCAGAAAGAACCAAATAATGCTAAAAAAGGCCGTCACAAGGTTTGATACTTCAACTTATTCTTTTGTATATTAACCTAATGAACTTCATTTAATTTTATTCAGACATCGCTGAAAAGGAAACGTACAGATATTAAAGGGACAGATCGTAGTGATGGTGGACATGTCTTGAAAAAGGACCCTTCAAGGTTTTACAATGAAACTGTTTATCAGGAAATACCAAAGATTTCAACTCCAAAAAGCTACAACTCCGACAAATTTTGGGCATCTCTTGAGCCCTATTGTGCACCTATTAATAAAGATGATATAGCAGTAAGTATACCTAATATGCTTGAGGTCTAATATTTTAGAAACGTTCAACATAGTTTTTAGATACTTTAATACAAGAGCTTTCCAAGGAAATTGATAGGAAAATACCTGAAATTGGTGAACATTATGCTACTTCTTGGTCAGAAGAAACTATTATTGATGAGCAAAACTCTGGGAAGTTTCCTTCAAAAAAGACGGCAAGCATTGATTTTAAGAAAAATGATTTATTCAGGTATTTTTTTTATTAGTTGTTCAAATAGCATTAGAGAGATAAAATATTAATTTTTAGTCTTGTGGAATCATTTGGCAAGCAGTTTTGTCAAAAATTAGCGTGTGAAAACCCAGCACTGAACGTGTTTAAAAAAAGTACAGAAAATGGTAACAGACTTGACAAATTAAAAGGTAAAAAGACCTCATTTCTGCTTATGCATGTGCATAACCAGGGTTGGGTATGTAGAAAATTTTACATTTTCTACTGTATTTTCTACACGTAGAAAATTAATTCTACGCCTCGTTACCCAACCCTGCGCATACCTATATTACATTCCCTTCTTGCAGAACTGGATTTATCAAAGTTAAAGCATAATAATGTTCAAAAAGTGGGAGCTTGTCTGGAAAAACGGTTATTAAAGAATTTAATTGAACATGGGATATTGCGAGAAGATGAAATCAGCAAGGTAGGAGGGAATCAAAAATTTATATATTCAGACTGTTTCAATTATTTTTGCAGGATTCGCCTGAAGATGAAATTCTAACAGAAATTCAAGCATGTGAAAAGGAACTAATTGCTGTAAATGAATATAACACAGAAGAATTAAACAAAATGAAAGCTGCTGTTATGAATGATGTTCACTGTAATCAGCTTAAAGACGATCTTGACAAAATTGACAAAGAAGTAGCTATTTACCGCCTTAATAAACTTATATTTTATAAAGTAATGTATATTTTAGGTGTTAGATTTATATAATAACATAATGGTTACGAGGAAGAAGGCTCTGCAAGAAGAGGGTAAACACTACGACAAGATCTTCTCCCAAAGCTCTGTAAATGAATTCGAAAGAAAAGCCAATGCGTTGTTAAGGCAACAGCATGTGTTAAACCGAGAGATTAACAGTAGTAGAGACATGGCGATGCTTTACTGATGGTTAAATTCAATATAATTGGGTTCTGAAAGTGTATCACCATAGAGAGATACATTTAGGAACCTAATTATATTGAAAGATTCAAAAAAGATTTGTAAATTTAGTAGTACTGAACTCTTTATTTTTATTTTATCTCCCCTTTATTTTTATATTTATACTTTTTACGCAGTATATCTTTTATTTCATATTTACAGTATTGTTCAGGAGAAAAAGTAGTTAAAATGATATATTTTATAATGACTACGTTATTAATTTTTTCGCTGTAACCAAGATACAAAAAGCACCTTTATTATTTTTACTTTATTAAACTTTACACAAAACTCCACCCATTGATTATGTATACCTATATTTAATGTAAATATATTTTCAACGTTTGTTTTCATAATATAATATCATAACTGTTATTAGATTTAGGGGAATATATCAAATTATATAAGCAGAAATATGTAGTTGAAGTTAGTAAAATGAAATTGTAATAAATATTCAAATGTTTAAATAGTTATTTATAATAATACATTTGAACACTTTATCATTAAATTTGTATCAAAATATAATAAAGTTATATACAATTAAGGTTTCTTTATTGGTAATTGTGATAAGAATTCGATAGAAACGATAATTTATAAACGTATCATTTGTTTATATATGTATTACAATGGCTATAATTTTTAAACCAAAAAAGGTATAAAAAAAATATACCTATATATATATACCTATTAGCATTTAAAAGAAATAAAATAATTAGAAAACTAAAAAATGAATTTTATTATAATTATTATTAAAAAAATAATTTTATTAATTTTCCAGGCGCATTCGCCATTTTCTTGAAGAACGGAGAACGCGGTGAATATAAATCGTTGGTTCGGTGTGGTTTGACGGGCTCCTGGTATCAGGAGAACATAACGAGCGAGGAGGTAAAAATTTTGAATCTACGACAGGACCGTTTCCGCCAATCACAGACTAGCAACAGCTGTCAATTAAGAATCTTTAATATGAATTTAAAAATAGAAATTAAAAAATAAATTAATTGCTTTACGTTTTTTATGATTATTGTGCTTTTAACCGTTTCCTTAATTGGACAAGTTAATCCAAGTACATAGAATTCATAAATACTTGTGTTATTAATGCAGTATTGTACTTGATTGTTTTCAATGAACTTCAATATGGCGTCATAGGAGGTGAATTTGTGTTATCAGGAGCTGAGAGTTTAAAAAAAACAAAAAATAGCAGAAAATAGTATGGAAATAGAAATATACTGAATACAAAAAATTAAGGTTTGTAGCTTGTAGGTATGTTTTGATAATTATTACTTAAAGAGCCTTTTGATTTTCCATTTAATATAATTTTTACTCGGTATTTGTTGTCATTTTCGCCGGGTTTTCTGTGAACTTATAACTTTTTATTGTTCTAGGCCTGATGTGTGGTTCAAATTCACCCTGGACCTCTAAAAACCATCGCTTTATTACCTGAGAAAGTATTACCTAAGAAAATACCAATATTTTGCCAATGTACTGCCTGTGAACATCAATATAATACCCTTATAATACTAAAGCGATTCTGATTTTGGTACCAGAGACTGAGGTTGCAATTTCAGTGTGTTCTTCAATTTAAGTTGAAATTAAATGGTTTATTAGTCATAAATAGTTAAGAACTGTGAATACTAGTGGTGCAGAAAGCTCAGGGTAAGTCTAAGACATTTATTAGCCTCTATTTGATTGCTTCCTTTTATAATTTGCTTTGCCATTTCCCTACCAACATCTGCTCGGGTGGGCTAGCAGGTCCTCCCAAAAAATCATTAATATTATAAGGATTCTGGACCTTATATGGTTATTGTACAATGCAACGAAACAAATGGAGAAAATTATGAAATTTACATCCCATGGGTTTAGATTGTATGTTGAAAAACTACCATGAAGATTTATTTAAATTTTTTGTAAAAATAGAAGGCTCAAATGTAGAATCCTTGTTTCAGAACGATTTTTGATGTTCTTGTAATTATTATTATATGTAAAAAAAAATCAAAAAGTAATTATAAAATAATTGTATGTATCGAAATAATGAATCACAGAGATCTTATGAAACATGAACATAAAATTTTCTATATATTTTTTTGAGACAATTTTTTTTCTTCCTAGGCAATCAATTGTTCAATGAAATATACAAATTACAGAAGGAATTTATGGACCAGGAAATTGAAATGGCTTCTAATAGGAATATGAAATTGAGGATCGGAATAAATGCAAGAGAGGATAAACCTAGAGAAAAAATCGGAAAGGGCATTTGATGGTATTACATAGCAAATGCAGAACATTCACTTGTGCAATATCAAGCAATGCAAATCTGTAAGGTACATTTTTACCAATGCCAATGAACTTTACTCCAGAAAAAAGAGAGAGGATCAGAAGATTAGCTCAAGAACAAGCTTTGATATTTGGTAATTATCTCTCTGATGATGGCCATTTTTGACATATTTTCACAGATCTTATAAAAATAGTAAAAGTGAATGTAAAATTCTGAAAAATGCAGTATTTGCAGGAAATTTCATGTAGATTTAAAATATATTAAGGTGAAAATTTTTAAGGGCTTTAATTTTGTTAAAAACTTGATTTTTCAAACCCTTGTCCCTTGTTTTGAAATGATTTATGTGAATGGCCATTTTTGACATATTTTCAGAGATCTTAGAAAAATAGTAAAAGTGAAGGTAAAATTTTGAAAATTCCAGTATTTGTAGCAAATTTTATGTAGATTCAAAATATATTAAGCTGAAAATTTTTAAGCGCTTTGATTTCGGAAAAAACTTCATTTTTCAAACCTTTGTTTTGAAATAATTTATGATGATGACTATTTTTGACATATGTATCTTCAGAGATCTTAGAACATTAGTAAAAGTGAAGGCAAAATTATGAAAATTACAGTATTTGCAGGAAATTTTATGTAGATTTAAAATATATTAAGGTGAAAATTTTTAATGGCTTTAATTTTGTTAAAAACTTGATTTTTCAAACCCTTGTCCCTTGTTTTGAAATGATTTATGCCAATGGCCATTTTTGACATATTTTCAGAGATCTTAGAAAAATAGTAACAGTGAAGGTATAATTTTGATAAATTACATTATTTGTAGGAAATTTTATGTAGATTTTAAATATATTAAGCTGAAATTTTTTAAGGACTTTGATTTTGTTGAAAACCTGATTTTTCAAATCCTTGTTTTAAAATAATTTATGACGATGGCCATTTTTGACATATTTTCAGAGATCTTAAAAAAATAGTAAAAGTGAAGATAAAATTTTGAAAATTACAGTATTTGTAGGAAATTTTATGTAGATTTTAAATATATTAAACTGAAATTTTTTAAACGTTTTAATTTTGTTGAAAACTTATTTTTCAAATCCTTGTTTTAAAATAATTTATGACACTGGCGATTTTTGACATATATTCAGAGATCTTAGAAAAACAGTAAAAGTGAAGTTAAAATTTTGAAAATTACAGTATTTGTAGGAAATTTTATGTAGATTTAAAATATATTAAGTTGAAAATTTTTAAGGCCTTTGATTTTGTTAAAAACTTGATTTTTTCAACCCCTGCTTTGAAAGGATTTATTATGTTCGTCATTTTTGACATATTTTCAGAGATCTTAGAAAAATAGTAAAAATCAAGTTAAAATTTTGCAAATTACAGTATTTGTAGGAAATGTTATGTAGATTTAAAATATATTAAGCTGAAATTTTTTAAGGCCTTTGATTATGTTAAAAACTTGTATTTTTCCAACCCTTGTTTTGAAACAATGTTGATATATTAGCTAACTTTTTTTAATGTGTGTTATATAGGAAAAGAATATCTGGCACAACAAAAAGCTGAAGATTTAGGAAAGAGATTCATATTTTGGGATGTATAAATGAAAGGTGTATAAAAGACTGCAGCCAGATGATCTGAAAATATCTGTGTTTACTGGGCAAAGAAAGAGGGTAAATATATTAATATATTAGATCTTTCGTAGAACTTAAACTATTATTTTATAAAGCAGGGTAATAGGTGCCATCGGTATAATAAGAGGCTGCCAGAGGTAACAGACGAGCTGTGGAAGGTCGTGGACGGATATAAAACTGCCGAGATTATAGATAAATTCTTAATTCTTTTTGAAGTCAAGAAATGCGTCAGTACTGCCACTTGCTTGGTAAGTCCCACGAATTCCTGGCAACTAAAGAGTAACAAGCCGGTCTCTTGCGACGATATATCGTTATTTGTTATATCTTTGTTACCTTATAACACAGAATATCTAGCTACGCTAGATATTCTGTGCTTATAAGCTAGAATACTAAGAATTATAGAGAATTGAATTTTCTTTTGAATGCCTCAATCAGTTGCTCGATATCTCTAGTAGTTTGGGAAAATAATGTTTTTTTAAATAATTAATATCAAAAATAGTTAAGATACCGGAGTGGCTTTTTGATCATTCAATAGAGAATTAAAGTCTTTATCTTTGTGCAAATTTTTATTGTAAACTGTAACTTTATTTTTCTTGAGTAAATTCTTTATTAAAACACGTTTTTCTGGTTGCATACATCAAGGCTCAAAGGTTTAGATTTATGAAATAAATCTCTAAGTTTAATTAAAATTAATTAAGTTATCGGAAAAATATTAAAAAATGACAAAGAATATTAATATATATATAAACAATTAAAGGCTTACATTTTTTTCTTTTATGAATAAATCATTTTTTTTGGACCCTTAAAATTTAACCGCTTCAACGAAGCGACTTTCAAGGCACTCAGAAAAATCGTAAACGTAGCGATAAAATTATGATAACTTCGGGAATTGTAGGAAATTTAACGTAGATTTAAAATATATAAACCTTACATTTTTTTCTTTTATGAATAAATCAATTTTTTTGGGCCCTTGCAAAATTTAACCGATTCAACAAAGCAACTTTCTTGAAAGTTTCAAGGCACTCAGAAAAATTGTAAACGTAGCGATAAAATTATGAAAACCTCGGGAATTGTAGGAAATTTAACGTAGATTTAAAATATATATACCATTAAAGGTTTACATTTTTTTCTTTTATAAGTAAATTAATTTTTTTGGACCCTTGCAAAATTTAACCGATTCAACGAAGCGACTTTCAAGGCACTCAGAAAAATAGTAAACGTAGCGATAAAATTATGAAAAGTTCGGGAATTGTAGGAAATTTAACGTAGATTTAAAATATATAAACCATTAAAGGCTTACATTTTTTTCTTTTATGAATAAATCAATTTTTTTGGGCTCTTGCAAAATTTAACCGATTCAACAAAGCAACTTTCTTGAAAGTTTCAAGGCACTCAGAAAAATTGTAAACGTAGCGATAAAATTATGAAAACCTCGGGAATTGTAGAAAATTTAACGTAGATTTAAAATATATAAACCATTAAAGGTTTACATTTTTTTCTTTTATAAATAAATCAATTTTTTTGGACCCTTGCAAAATTTAACCGATTCAACGAAGCGACTTTCAAGGCACTCAGAAAAATAGTAAACGTAGCGATAAAATTATGAAAACTTCGGGAATTGTAGGAAATTTAACGTAGATTTAAAATATGTAAGCTGTTAAAGGCTTACATTTTTTTCTTTTTGAATAAATCAATTTTTTTGGACCCTTGCAAAATTTAACCGATTCAACGAAGCGACTTTCAAGGCACTCAGAAAAATAATAAACGTAGCGATAAAATTATGAAAACTTCGGGAATTGTAGGAAATTTAACGTAGATTTAAAATATATAAGCAGTTAAAGGCTTACATTTTTTTCTTTTATGAATAAATCAATTTTTTTGGACCCTTGCATAATTTAACCGCTTCAATGAAGCGACTTTCAAGGCACTAAGAAAAATAGTAAACATAGCGATAAAATTATAAAAACTTCGGGAATTGTAGGAAATTTAACGTAGATTTAAAATATATAAGCAGTTAAAGGCTTACATTTTTTTCTTTTATGAATAAATTATTTTTTTTGGACCCTTGCATAATTTAACCGCTCTAGTGAAGCGACTTTCAAGGCGCTAAGAAAAATAGTAATCAATGCGATAAAATTATAAAAACTTCGGGAATTGTAGGAAATTTAACGTAGATATAAAATATATAAGCAGTTAAAGGCTTATATTTTTTTCTTTTATGAATAAATCATTTTTTTTGGACCCTTGCATAATTTAACCGCTTCAATGAAGCGACTTTCAAGGCGCCAAGAAAAATAGTAAACATAGCTATAAAATTATGAAAATTTCGGGAATTGTAGGAAATTTAACGTAGATTTAAAATATATAAGCAGTTAAAGGCTTAAATTTTTTTCTTTTATGAATAAATCAATTTTTTGGACCCTTGCATAATTTAACCGCTTCAATGAAGCGAATTTCAAGGCGCTAAGAAAAATAGTAAACATAGCTATAAAATTATGAAAACTTCGAGAATTGTAGGAAATTTAACGTAGATTTAAAATATATAAGCAGTTAAAAGCTTACATTTTTTTCTTTTATGAATAAATCAATTTTTTTGGACCCTTGCATAATTTAACCGCTTCAATGAAGCGAATTTCAAGGCACTCAGAAAAATAGTAAACGTAGCGATAAAATTATGAAAACTTCGGAAATTGTAGGAAATTTAACGTAGATTTAAAATATGTAAGCAGTTAAAGGCTTACATTCTTTAACGAATAAATATACATTTTTTGAACCCTTGCAAAATTTAACTGGTTTAACAAAGGGATTTTCAATGCACTCAAAAAAATATTAAACACAACACTAAAATTATGAAAATTTCTGAACTTTCTTTTTTTTAATATGCATTAGCATTGTCTGTATATTTTAACAATTAAATTAGTGCAAATCTCAAATCAGAAACCTTATATGAAGATTTTTTGTAATGATTTTATGCAACCAGAAATACACGAAACTATTTTATAAATTTGGATATTTTTTAATAAGTTTCCTTTCTTTTTCAGCTTTGATGCGACAATACGAAGGATGATGAAGAATGTTTGAATATTTTTAAATCAAACAGAAAATCATCAAATAGAAGGCACAAAAATAATGCGACTCTCTACAGGTAAAAAAGAAATGTTTTTCTTCTGTGGAAATCTTACATTCTGTTTTTTACAAATTCAAAGGTTCTGGTGGGCTTTGAAGACATTTGATCAGGCTGACCGTGACAAAGTCTTACAGCATGTCACTGGATCTTACAAAGTGTTCCTACATGGATTTGGTGCTCCTACATGGATGAACTGCATTCAAAATTTCAAATTCATAGAGATGACTGTTCTACCGATCGTTTACCTTCCGCGCATACTTGGTAATTTTTTTCCACTAAATAATTCAAGATCTGCTTATATCTCTATTCACAAGTCATTAAAAAATCTTTTGCCAAGTGGGGGTTTGAGATTGTTGGTCTTTTATATGATGGATATGCCATTTAATCTGTAGTCCAAAAATACTATAATGTTTAGTGTGACTCACAAATGTGCAGAAAATTTATTCTAAAAATGGTCGTATTTCAAAAATCACTCGGTATAGAATACAATATGGTATTTTTAGAATGGAAATTTAATGGTATATCCACTAAGCTAATAAAAAATATAGCATTCCTTTTAAAAATATACAACTTTAGTTTGAGACTATTTTTGACTCACCCTGTATGTTGACAGAATTATTTTTAAAGTATGCATTACCATTTTCTGTACCTATGTTGTATTAAAAAGATTAGAGTGCAGATCAAGAATTAGAAATCTTAAATAGAGCATTAGGCATGCAACCAGTAATACACGAAACTGCTTATTAAATTTAGATGTTTTCTAATAAGTTTTATTTCTTTTACAGCTTTAATCAATTGGATCTTCCAGTATACGGGACTATTACGGTAAACTAAGGGCATACTTGCTGAAGGATATCCATAAAAAATGTTCTGAAGATTTTGATTTTTTGCCTGAATAATGCAATAAATATTAAAGACTGATGTGTTTGTTTGTACTTATCTATATAGTGGTCTTGAGTGTATATAATAATATCTCTTCAAGATCCTCGAACGTTCAGCTGGCTAGCAGACATCACTTATGTTAGTTTGTTCAGAAACATCACAAACTGTATATTCTCTAGTAGAGATTGAAAGCCTTTTTAATTACGTACCCTATGATCGAGAAAAAACGGCGTCAACTATGGCTATGAAATGAAGATTGCTGTCAATTTATATGGGAAATGTCATCAATTGTCATTACCGAGCCAACTGGACACCGTTTTTTTTTTCGATCATACGGTATTTAATACAATATATTGTTATATGCTATTACATCTGTATCATTTAATTTAAATAAATATTTACCTTTCGATTATTTATTGTTTCATTAATCCCCAGATTACCCTTCCTTAATATTAATATTTTAATTCCAAATTATTAAGTAATCTATATATAAAACAATAACATGTTTATGAAAAATATTTTTTTCTCTTTTAATGGCAACACATTTTTGATTTTAAATATTTCAAGACCACTCTGTATAGTAAACCAAATTGAGTAATTTATATATAAAACAATACTATGTTTGATAATAATTTTTTGTCTTTTAATTGTAACATCTGTTTGGATTTAAATATTTCAAGACCACTAAAAATGTACATATAGTAAACTAAATTTATTTTAAAATCGTCTGAAGTGGTGCCCGTACTAATAAATCAGTGGTAGAAATTGAGCAAATTGATGCTGCGAATTTTTATTCAGCAAAATGTGCTATCTCTAGCGATTTGACCTCGTTGGCAAACTTTAACCCTTAATAAATTTTTTTCTAAGAATAAAAAACCTACATTTTTTCCGGCCATTCGATAGAGAATTAAAAGCTCTATCTCTATGCAAAATTGCAGCTCTATCGGAGATACTTTAATTTTTCGGCTCTAGAAAATGTAAGGCTAACCCCTTTGCTAAATTTGCCCTAAAAATTAAAGTATCTCCGATAGAGCTGCAATTTTGCATAGAGATAGAGCTTTTAATTCTCTATCGAATGGCCGAAAAAAATGTAGGTATTTTTTTCTTAGTTTTTGAGATATTTACGTTTTTCAAAAAAAATCTAACTCCTCGAGCTCGTTGGTCATGTATTTTAATTAATTTATTATTTTATTTATTTGTTTTTTTTTAAATTCATTTAAAAAAAACCTTCACCATTTTGTCAAGAAGATGAAAATTATTTTTTGCTGTAAATTTGGTTGCATCATTTTATATAATTTTAATTTTTTTTTAAATTATTTTTAAAAAAAACCTTCACCATTTTGTCAAGAAGGTCAGAATTATTTTTGATTGTAAATTTGTTGGATTGGTTGGCATCACTTTATACCATTTTAAATTAAATATTGTGTACAGGGTGTCCCATTTTAGTGTGTTTTATGGGGACAACTGAATTCACTTTGATTTTCGAAAGACTATATCGTTTATGTATTTCAGGCTTTGCAAAGTGTTTTAATTATTTAAACTTAATATTTTTTTATATAGGTTGGAAAATAAAATATATTTGTATATAATAAATTTATTCATGACAATAAGTTAATCGTAGTGGGTATATATTTAAGTTTTACAAATACAACGTGCAGTAGTATTAACATATCAATCGAATATTCTTCGGAGATCGGAATAGGCCTATGGTTGGTTCGCTGCTCAAGTGGGCTGTGGAACTGTGGAGCAATCTGAAACAAAGAATAAAAATATAAAATAGATCATACACAGGCATATTTAAAGGGTTTTGTTAAAAAAGTGCGTAGTCTTTTTAGAGCAACTATATTTTAAACAGACCAGAAGATGAAATATATCAATACTCTACATATATGATTAAAAGATCTTATAGTCGAATTGGCTTTAATCATATTCTACATTCTAATACCGTACATATGATTAAAATGTTTTATTAACGAGCTGGCATTTTCCCCTCTCAATTACCCTAATATGATCAAAATATTTTATAAGTGAGCTGACTTTATTTTTTCTCCCTCTAATACCCCACCTAGGATTAAAACCTTTTATAATCGAGCCAGTTTTAATTATCCTACCCCTAATACCGTATGATTAAAACACTTCCTAATTGAGATGGCTTTATTTATTATCCCTCTAGCATTGGACGTATGATCACAACGAGTTATAATTAAGCTGGCTTTAAAGGTAAATATGATTAAAATGTTTTATATTTGAGTTGGATTTAATATTATCTCCCCACTGTAGATATGATCGAAATGTCATATAACTGAGGTGGCTTTAATATTCTTCCTATAATACCCACTTTATTACCCTACATATGATCAAAAGGCTTTAAAATCGAGTTGTCTTTATTGATCCTACCTTTAATACTGCACGCGTATTAATGAATTCTCGTTTTGACCATTCTCTGAGAGTAAATTCAGGGACTTTTGGCGTACTTAGCCTTACTTTAAGATATGTCTGAAATGTTGCAAATAGAATTTAATTCTCTATCGAATGGTGAAAACTGCACTTAGATAACTTAATCAATTTTAGAGATATTATTTTTTTCATAAATTTAACCTTTACAGACTTGATGTATATGTAACCAGTAAAACATCTGCTCATATTTTGCTAGAGAAAAATAAAGATAATGAGATTACATTAAAGATTCGCGCATATATAGGGAATTTAGTTGTTTATTGAACGGTCACAAAAGGATTCGGATATGTTATTAGTTTTAGAGATATTAATTAATTAAAAAATAACATTTTTTCCAAAACTACTAGAGATACTAATAGAAAGTTCAATTCTCTATAATCGTGTCTATAATTCTTGGTATTGTAGCTTATAAGGTAACAAAGGTATAACCCTTGTATATGAATTTTTATAAACAAGGGTATAACACAAATACTGATATATTGTAGCAAGATTTTTTTCAAAAAGTTTATTTTGCTGTAAAATTATAAAGGAAGCAATAAAAACACTTATACACTATATTAAATATTACATAAATGCAATGAAACATTATTTTTTTACAAATATAAAGTAAATATATGAAATTATATATTTGTTTATTCTGAAGACGATTTAAATGCCTGGTTTATATCAACACACTTGATACAGCCAATAAACAGTTAAATTTAAACTGTGTGCATAGAGGAACTAAAATAATACAATGGAAAAGTTATTATTTTTGTACCTGAGGTTTTCAGTATTTATTTAACAAGATAAAAAATTTTCATTCTCGCATACTATCTCATTATTTGTAGTAGTACTGGCTGAATTACTTTCATTTACGACGCTCCTACTTACTAATTCTTGGTATTCTAGCTTATAAGGTAACAAAGGTATAACAAATACTGATATATCGTCGCAAGAAGCCGGCTTGCCACTTTTTAATTGCCAGAAATTCGTGAGGGAACCCCGCGCGTAACCTACCAAGCAAGTGGCAGCACTGACATATTTCTTGTCTTCAAAGGCGTTTAGAGATTTATCTATAATCTCGGCAGCTTTGTAGCCATCGACGACGTCCCACAGCCCGTCTGTCCCCATGATGAGAACTTCCTTGTCGTCGGTCGATGCGATTTTATAAACTTGTACTTCTGGATGGGAAGAAAGGAATGGTTTTATAGGCATCTTTTGATAAACGGCAGTAAGGTCGTGATCACCAAACCCTCTTGTTACACCAATGGTACCCATTACCCTACTCTATAAAATAAAATAGTTTAATTTCTACCAAAAATCTTATATATAAATATTTACTCTTTTTCCTTGCCCAGTAATCACAGATATTTTCAGATCATCCGGCTGCAGTGTTTTATACGCCCAGCCTTTCATATATGCATCCCTAAACATGACTGTCTTCCCTAAATCTCCAGACTTTGGTTGTGCCAAATATTCTTTTGAAGTGTATTCTTTTCCTATTAACAAAATAGTTACTAAATGTACCAAATATTTTGGGAGCTAACTTACCTAATAACAAAGGTTGTTCTTGAGCTAATCTTCTGATCCTATCTCTCTCATTTTCTGGAGTAAAGTCCATTGACATTGGTAAAAATGTGTCGCCTTTACAGATTATTGCACGTGAATCTCCTGCATTTGCTACATACAGTTTTCCTAGAATAAACAGAGCAACGAGTGCGGTGCATCCCCCAGCAGCCTGGTATTTATTCTTGTCCTCTAACAGCAGCTGATCCTAAAAACGAACGAGTTTAATCAGATATTATATATTTGAAAAATTAATTAATCTAACTTACCATTTCACTAAAAGCCGATTCTAAAGCGCCAATAATTAACAGGTCCCTAGGTTTGGTGGTTGGTGAATTTTTTTCATTAAAATCTACCCATATATCATCTTGTGCATCAACTAATTTTTCCTAGATATAACCAAAAAAGTTAAGGTAAGTACTGAAAGAAATTTAAATTTGATAGCAAAAAACTTACATGTATAATGTGATGCAATTGGTGTGCGGCACATAAAGCTGCTCCTACTCCTGCATGGCCATCAAATATGCCATAATATGTGTAAGGAACAGCATATTTATTAAAGGTTCCAGCCTCATTCTGAATTGTTTTACTCAACACTCCTTGTCTATATACAGCTTGATCTTCGTTCCACCGTGACTTTCCTGCGTTTACACATTCAGCATATCCTGTTGATTACATGAACATAAATATAATACAATGGAAACTTCCAACATGATATTTACCTGTATCATATGGCAGTGGTTTACTGGGATGTATAATAGGTCTTAACTTATGGTCGGCGCTCATTTGAACTTCGTCGTCGCCTAGGCTTAAAAAGTGGGGCCTTCCATAAGGAAATTTCGGAGCCAACGTTACTTTGTTGTATTGTGTTCCTTCGATGGCCGGCCCATTTGCCTCTAAGCCGCTAACAACGCCTATGACTGCACTTTTAAATCGGTTAAACATTACTTCTGTTTTTTATCTCTTCGGTTCTAGCATATTACGAATGAAAACTAAGGAAATTTTTGAATATCAACAAATACATATGATATCGACAACCATTGTCAAAACATTGAACATGTGTCAACTGTCAACCACAGAACACATTTAATAGTGTTTACCACAGAATATATCTATTATCCGGTGAATTACAGAAATCTGCAACAATGAAAAAACATAAAAAGTTAAGCAACCAGTAAATCACATTGCATGGCAAATTTTTAAATACTTTAATTTTTAGTTTATTATATTAGGGGAAATTAAAAATAACAGAATTAAACAATCATACAGAATGTTCTCTTAATATGATAAATATAAAATATATACAGAAAATAATACAGAGAATCATTAATATGTTAAGTATCTAAAAATAATAATTTGTTTTTAAAGTATTCTAGAATTTTTATGGTTTATAAAAGCTTAGAGTATAACATATACTTGAAGCCCATAAATTTTAATTTATCACCATGTTCTCGATGTTAAAAGATTTTTTTTAATAATAAAGGTCAACTATTGACCGACTGGCGTTGAGTTCATCGGTGTCCAAAATATTTGGATTGAAATTATAATGGTCGTTTACAAATAATAATTAATTACCAGCAAAACTTATCAAATAAAATAATACTAATACATTACATAAGGCGTACATGTGAAGTCATTGGTCTGTTCAAACGTAAATATATTTTCTTCTAATTATTTTTGATTTAACTTTATTAGTAAATATGCAAAAAATATATAAATAAAATTATCTGCCAGATACTTCCTCTAGGAGATGCAAGACTTTGTCGTTGGTGGGGAAGCTCCTGGTCAGGTGCTAGGGGATATCCCCTCTGGCACTTTGGCTCGGTCTAAGTTAATTAATTATACTTATAAGTTAATTATTTTTAATAATTATTTATTTATTTTTGTCACAAACGACTCTGGTGTATGTACTTTGAGTAAAATTTTGAGTCTAGCCCCCCTTTCCCGAATCCTGGATCCGCCCCTGCTTGGCAGTGATTTAATAAGTGTGTTTTGGCGCCTTTTTATGTAGTCGTTATATTGAAAAACCTCAGACATGGGATCTAAATGTTTTTGGGTAGTTTATTTTTACGATTCTACCCTCACTGTACTTGTCTAAATTCATTAAAACCACCTGAAAATAATGGGTGTGTCCAGTCGAACAGGAAAGGGTTTATAGTGATTGAATTTAATCGCTTCCAATAAATCGAAGCAGAATGGCGTTTATTTTAGATATAGGGTAAAATAAAAAGGACCTGGAAAAAAATATTATTAAAGATAAAGAAATTATTATTTTAACGTTGACATTCTTTGACTATTCAAATAAACTGAATAGTGAAATCTATTCATATTTTATTATATTCATTCACAATAAAATACCTGTATAATCCTGTCTAAACCTGGTATTATTCAAATTAATTAATCTTAATCCAGTCAGCATCCCTGATGATATCCAGTGTGAAAAACACCTTCTAAAATAGAAAAGAAACACCAATCTATAAAGTAGTTATTAGTTTTCATTTACCTAAGATAAGTCTTACCTAAAGGTCTAAATTTCACGATAATTTTTAGAAAGTATCGTGTTACTTAATAACCAAGCTATTTTTTCCAAAATTAAAGTGTCCAAAAAACTTGTCCTTTACATAAAGAACCCTAACGTTTTTAGGTAACAAGATCTTATCTGAACACCTCGACTTTGGCACCCCTTTTTAAGATAAAAAAGGGCTAGAAAGCATACAATTTTAATTCTAAAATATTATTATAGGCCATTAATTAATTCTATGCTTGTTAATAAATTAAAAAATATTTTTCTTTGCGTCTATCTTCAGTAGCAGAATACTAAAGCTGTGGTAAGTCTTGGCAGAATAATTTTTCCGAATCTTATACTTTAAAAACGTCTAAAAAACTCGCAGGGTATTGTTTGATAAGTGCGGAATTTCTAGACATCCTACAGATACAAATCTCTTTATTGTATTTAAATAGGTCAGTTCTTAGATTTCTTGTTTGACAGTTAACTTATTTTTTGGTTAAAAATGCGCATTGGAAATGTTCCGATGGCAGCGACGGACAAAACTTTCTACATGGTAAGTTCAAAAATTCTGGACAGCTTTTGTAGTGAAAATTCTGCGATTTTGTAATGAATTTTTCAATAATTCTCAGCAGTTTAAAAAATAGTAGCAAATTGTATGTCCTTTTAAAATATATAAAGGGTTAATTTCACGGAAAAATGATTTTTTGAAACTTGACACTAAAAGTGATAGTTTATGATGAATTAAAAGTTCACGTATATTCGAAGTTCTAGAAAAAATAGTAGGCGTACTCATAAAATTATGAAAATATTAGTATTTGTAGTAAATTTTACGCACTTTTAGAATATATAAACAGTTAAATTCTTGGATACTCTGAGTTCATGGTAAACTCGATTTTTCGAAACAGTGTTTCTGAACGATTTTTCACAATGATTTAAAATTTTACATATTTTTGAAGCTCTTAGAAAAATAGTAGGCGTGGTAAAGAATTATGAAAATTTCAGAATTTGTAAGAAATTTTATGAACTTTTAGAATATGTAAGCAGTTAAATGCTTGGGTACTCTGAGTTCATGGTAAACTCGATTTTTCGAAACAGTGTTTCTGAACGATTTTTCATAATGATTTAAAATTTTACATATTTTTGAAGCTCTTAAATAAATTAGTAGGCGTGGTAAAAAATTATGAAAATTTCAGAATTTGTAGTAAATTTTATGTACTTTTAGAATATATAAACAGTTAAATGGCTTGGGTGCTCTGAGTTCATAACAAACTCGATTTTTCAAAACAGTATTTCTCAACAGTTTATTATAAATGTCTAGTAAAAATTTGTATTATAAAAATTAAATATAGTATACATGTAGTTCCCTTTCTTCATTAAAAATTTAGATTAAGTGCCCCTAGGCATCACTTACAAAGATCCACCCCTTAAATTGCAGTCAAAACACAGGAAATTTAGGTACATACCTACGTCTCAACATCCCTAGGTAGTATTTCTAATTTGCATAGACTATGAGTTGGCAGGGTGAATTTTATAATATACGGGGTAATTTTTATCCTAATGAGAGAGTACCTAATAAGCAGAATTGAGAAAAATATTCTTTAAAATTAAAACGAATTTTCAAAAGTTTTTATATTGACTTTAATAACTGTATATCAAGTGATTAATTGACTCGAGTCTCCAAACTATCAAAATACAGAAATAGACTACCTAATTATATTTAGTAAATCAGTCTGAATTGACTCGTTAAGAACCGATTAGTATGTTAATCTGAGAAAACAATTCGAAACAAGATTAGGTAATAGCTGCTGCCCTATTTAACACTTCGGGGTGAAACTTACAATCTCGAGAAGAAATCTAGCATTCATTGAAAAACTGAGACGGGTCTCGGCAGATAAGCTTGAAGAATACGGTGGTATTTTAAAGAACCTTTTTTTAACCCTAAACCGGATGTTTAAAAAAGAAAATAATGCCACAGTTTAAAGGACAATATTTTTTTATATGTGTCTAATATTCCAGCTTTTGACCTAAAGAATCTTACCGAAAAAAATAATGATTCAAAGCTCTTGGAAAAATAGTAGAGAGTGTTATAAAATTCTGTAGATTTCAGTATTTGTAAGAACTAATATGTACTTTTAGAATATGTAAACTTACAATAAGCTGCTTTAATGTGTGTAATTTAAAATTTTACATATTTTTGAAGCTCTTAGAAAACTAGTAGGAGTGGTAAAGAATTATGAAAATTTCAGAATTTGTAGTAGATTTTATGCACTTTTAGAATATACAAGCAGTTAAATGCTTGAGTACTCTGAGTTCATGGTAAACTCGATTTTTCACAATAGTGTTTCCGAATGATTTTTCACAATGATTTAAAATTTTACATATTTTTGAAGCTCTTTGAAAAATAGTAGGCGTGGTAAAGAATTAAGAAAATTTCAGAATTTGTAAGAAATTTTATGAACTTTTAGAATATGTAAGCAGTTAAATGCTTGGGTACTCTGAGTTCATGTTAAACTCTATTTTTCGAAACAGTGTTTCTGAACGTTTTTTCAGAATGATTTAAAATTTTAGATATTTTTGAAGCTGTTAGAAAAATAGTAGGTGTAGTAAAGAATTATGAAATTTACAGAATTTGTAGTAAATTTTATGCACTTTTAGAATATACAAGCAGTTAAATGCTTGAGTACTCTGAGTTCATGGTAAACTCGATTTTTCACAATAGTGTTTCTGAATGATTTTTCACAATGATTTAAAATTTTACATATTTTTGTAGCTCTTTGAAAAATAGTAGGCGTGGTAAAGAATTAAGAAGATTTTAGAATTTGTAAGAAATTTTATGAACTTTTAGAATATGTAAGCAGTTAAATGCTTGGGTATTCTCAGTTCATGTTAAACTCGATTTTTCGAAACAGTGTTTCTGAACAATTTTTCACAATGATTTAAAATTTTACATATTTTTGAAGCTCTTCGAAAAATAGTAGGCGTGGTAAAGAATTAAGAAAATTTCAGAATTTGTAAGAAATTTTATGAACTTTTAGAATATGTAAGCAGTTAAATGCTTGGGTACTCTGAGTTCATGGTAAACTCGATTTTTTCGAAACAGTTTTTCTGAAAGATTTTTTATAATGTTTAAAATTTTACATAATTTTGAAGCTCTTAGAAAAATAGTAGGCGTGGTAAAGAATTATGAAAATTTCAGAATTAGTAGTAAATTTTATGCTCTTTTAGATTATATAAACAGTTAAATGCTTTGGTAATCTGAGTTCATGGGAAACTCGATTTTTCGAAACAGTGTTTTTGAAATTTTATTAATGTTTGAAGAAATAGATTTATTAAATTCTAGCGGATTCTAATGCATTAAATAATAGACCTATCTATCCTTATCCAGCATAATTTCTGTCAGCAATTAAAATTTATTAAAAAAGTTAAATGTGTGGCAAATATAAAATAAATTTTTATTACTGAAAATAAATCTTAAGCGGTCAGTCTTAAACGAAATCTTTTAAGGCAGGAATGCCGGTATAAACTCATTGGTCAATGCACTTTCTGATATAAATCTTTATGACAAATTATTCCTAAAAAAGATGCAAATTGAGAATAATGG